CGGAACGGCCCGGATCGGTCGACTATATCCTATAGCTGCCATATAACTGATTGATCGAAAATGGTATAACTTTGGTGTTTTTAAAGTTAGAGAGTTCAAATTTTAGGTGAGAGCTATTTTTGGCAAAACATTACGACCTACCAAATTTCATAAAGATCAGCCGAATATATCCTAAAGCTGCCATATAAATGTTTGATCGGAAATGACCCAACTTTTGTGCTTTTTAAGATAGATAGTTGAAACTTCGTAGAGATTCTATTTTTGGTCAGTTGATCCAACCTACCAAATTTCATAAGGATCGGCCGACTATATCTTATAGCTGTCATATAACTGAATGATCGGAAATGGTTTTGGTAGAAATAACAACTTCGGTGTTCTTGAAGATAGAAGTTTGGGACTTTTTTTAGATTTTGTATTGAAATAGATAAAAAGTTATATGAAAGTTATGAAATAGTTATATTACGATATTTTCATAAGGATCGGCGAAAAAAATCTGATTCTTGCGGTATATATCCGGTTTTTTCAAATTAAGGTTAGGTTACCTTTTTGTATTTTGCAAGCCGCACGGCACCTTACGGCACCTAAACTAAACTTTCTTATATTCTTAAAATGCTTAAGAATATTATACAAAAAGATTTTTTAATGCCAACGAGTGCCATCACAACTAAAACTCTAACCAAACACAGAGAAGACAAACTAAGAACGTTCACAATTATGTACTAAATACAACAGTGATTTACACAAAACACAACAAATACCATATATACTTTTTATTGAAAAAAGAAAGTTAATACCTTTCTTTACAATATTAAAACCTTCCATGGCACAAACACTTGTTTAAAAAATGTTTAATAAGCTTTTTGCGGAGAGCTTCACTTGCTCGTTGCTTACGCTGCAATTCACAATGAATATCATGCTATCACTTTCGATGCTATTCTTGAAGCGGACAGACAGATCAAAACAAAAATATGAATTATTTCAAATAGGTAGACCAATTATAAATAAGAATTGGTACATTTAAAGTCAAAATTTGGACTTTGGTTTTTTTATTTTTGGCCTACGGGCTGGACCACTGTGCCGTGGGTTTCTTGTTGTAGTTTTCCGCAAGCGCAAAATTATGCAACAAAATTTTTTTGCTTAGAATCCTCAAATTTTAAGTTCAAGTTTGTTTTCAATTTTATCAATATCTAAAGCAAAAGTTTTTTTTTTTTTATGTGAAAAAATTTCTACGCCAACTTATATATGCCAAACTTGACAATATATTCATGTCGGTCTGTATGTATAAACGCGTAGATCTCCGAGACTATAAGAGATAGAGCTGTACGTTTTGCCATGAAAACTCCTATAATACCCTCGCAGTACAAGCTTATATCAAATATTTATATTATATCAAATTTTTGCTGATCTGAGAAAAATCTCAGATCAGCAATACTTAAATATATACTATATATAATATAATGTATACTTAAATATTCCATCAGCCAATCTTATAAGAGTACTTCAAAGGGTTAAGCCTATTAAAATCACAAAAAAAGGGATATTAATTAATTGAATTAATTGGAAGGAGTCTTTCATAATTCTCTTACATATAAAAGGAAAAAAATCCGATGCTGCCAACTACAGACGAATTTCTAAATCTCTAAATGGAAGAACACAAAGATTCTCATTTAAAAATTTACATTCCCGCTTGGTCTGTGCTACATCTGGGTTCCCTCAAGAAAGTCATCTTGACCCGTTACTTCAATACAAATCCGCTTCTCCCCAATGCAATCTTCAGTTCGATCTCGAAAACTTTCAAAAATCGTGTTTAACGATACTTAATGGTATCGTTCACTCACTAATGAATACTTAATGGATCAAAATATAAGCTTACATATGTCTTTTGATCGTTCTTTCCCTGTCCAGGCTAAGTATCTTCTCTATCGGATTGCCTTTAAATTAGGTTAAACTTTTTGGCTTTTGCATCATAGCAGAATTAACTTACCCCCCTTAACAAATCGTAGAGCATGCTGTGTGCCATTTTCCTATACAAAATTATTAATGGTCATGTAGATAGCCAGCATTTACCAACACTTTTACATTTTAACGTTCCTAATAGAGATCTAGAAACTATGGTCCCCTATACCTTAGCCATTTTAGTTCGACTTACGCACAACGACCCTCTTACGGTCCACAGTGGTCCAGCCCGTAGGCCAAAAATAAAAAAACCAAAGTCCAAATTTTGACTTTAAATGTACCAATTCTTATTTATAATTGGTCTAGCTATTTGAATTTATTCATCTTTTTGTTTTAATCTGTCTGTCCGCTTCAAGAATAGCATTGAAAGTGATAGCATGATATTCATTCTGTATTGCAGCGTAAGCAACGTGCAAGTGAAGCTTTTGGCAAAAAATGTATTAAACATTTTTAAAACAAGTGTTTGTGCCATGGAAGTTATTTATATTTTAAAGAAAGGTATTAATTTTCTTTTTACAATAAAAAGTATATGTAGTATTTGTTGTTTTTTGTGTAAATCATTGTTGTATTTAGTACATAATTGTGAACGATCTTAGTTTGTCTTTTCTGTGTTTGGTTAGAGTTTTAGTTGTGATGGCACTCTTTGGCATTCACAAATCTTTTTGTATAATATTCTTAAGAATTTTAAGAATATAAGAAAGTTTAGTTCAAGTGCCGTGAGGCTTGCAAAATACAAAAAGGTAACCTAATCTGAATTTGAAAAAACCGGATATATATCGCAAGAATCAGATATAGTTCGCCAATACTTATGAAAATATCATAATATAACCAATCTATTACAATACAAAATCTAAAAAAAAGTCCCAAACTTCTATGTTCAAGAACACCGAAATTGGTATTTCTCCAAAAAACCATTTCCGATCATTCAGTTATATGACAGCTATAAGATATAGTCGGCCGATCCTTATGAAATTTGGTAGGTTGGATCAACTGACGAAGTTTCAACTATCTATCTTAAAAAGCACAAAAGTTGGGTCATTTCCGATCAAACATTTATATGGCAGCTATAGGATATAGTCAGCTGATCCTTGTGAAATTTGGTAGGTCGTATTATTTTGTCAAATATAGCACTCGTACAAAAACTGAACTTTCTGACTATAAAAACACCAAAGTTATAGCATTTTCGATCAATCAGTTATATGGCAGCTATATGATATAGTTGCCCGATCTGGCTGATATTAACATATTATTTTGAAATAAAAATATAAATAATTTGTGGATATCTGCGTGGATAACATACGACTCAAAGTTCCAATAGTTTGACTCAAAACTCTTTTAAAAAATATCTACGTAAATTTTACTGCGCTACAGAAGTTTCTGATTTGGTGGGGAGTGGAAAAATAGGAGGAGGTGTAATATCGGAGTCTCCAAATAGTCTTTGAGATCCACACGTTTGTAAGGACACACAGGCAAAAATACCTTCCTTCCTTCTCTTTGTTACATACTTGCATTTACACGAATACAATATACCCATGTATGTACTCTACAAGTACCCGGTATAATTAACTTCGAATGTATTTTTTTTTGTTGGGTGTTGAGTTTCTCAACGCATAAATAGTTTCTATAAATTTTGTTTGTGGCCAATTAATTTGGCCTAGCAAATTTTTTAGGGATCGGCCGTCTATATGTAACTGCCATATAACTCAACGATTGGAAATTACCCAACTCTATTGTTTTTTAAGATAGGACGTTGGAGCTCTATATAATGTTAAAAAAAACTCGTTGATTTAGATCAGAGGTCGGCACTCATTACATTGATATTTTAATTTAAATGCATTAGTATTAGTGATAAATAGCAGAGAGTAGGCTGAGAGTGTGACGTTTCATACGTTTATACTGTGTGTCTGCGGCATAGCTCGGGCGGAGAAATGTGCTCTGCCCCTGGAATAGAGCCCTGCCCACCACTGATTTAAATTAACGATTTACGTCGGTATTATAAAAAAGCTTTTCATCATTTATCGCACATTGTCCATAAACGGTCCAGTTGTTGATGCAGATGAAGAATGTACATATATTCTTTTACGATCGCTGATGATTTATTTTCACTGTAAAATACATCTGCATAAATACGGAAGCAGCCGCTATCCGGAAATGCAAATATGGAAGATGCGATTATATTCCTTACAAACTAATATATCTATCTTCGCGTTTTAATTTTTTTTTTTACGCAAGAAAAGAAAGGAAAGCTATCTTCGGGCGGAGTCGAAGTTTATATACCCTTGCAGTATACCCCATCGCAAACATCGAATATAGTTGGCCGATCATAATATCATAATATAACCCATTTATTTAAAAAAGAAAGTCCCAATCTCCTATCTCCAAAAATGACAAGCTTGGTTTTTTTACCAAATACCATTTCCAATCGTTTAGTTATATGGCAGCTATAAGATATAGTCGGCCGATCGTTATAGAATTTGGTAGGTCGGATCAACTGACCAAAAATAGGATCTGTACGAAGTTCCAACTTTCTATCTTCAAAAACACGAAAGTTGTGTCATTTCCGATTGTTCAGTTGTATGGCAGCTATAAGATAGTGTCCATATGACAGCTATAGGATATAGTCGGCCGATTCTTATGAAATTTGGCATATCGTATTATTTTACCAAAAATAGCAATGCAAAATCTCCCAAACTCTTAAAAAAGTTACAGCTCCAAAGTTACAGCTTTTCCGATCAATCAGTTATATGTCAGCTATAGGATATAGTCGGCCGACCCCGGACGTTCCAAATTATATTTATACTGCGTGCAAAAGAAACAAACAGACGGACAGTCGAACATGTTTATATCAACTCAGGAGGTGATCCTGATAAAGAATATAAAAAAAAAACTTTATAGGGTCAAAGATGTCTCCTTCACTGCGTCGCACACTTTTGACCAAAATTATAATACTCTCTGCAAGGGTATAAAAATATCTCCTATAATAGGTTTTTCTTGTTTTTTTTTAAGTATACACAATAGTATAATTGTTTTAATGTATACACCAGCTTTAGCCTTCGACGCAAACTACACGCAACTGTCTTTATTAGAAAATGAGTCAATAACCTCAGGCATGGCGCAAGAAAACATTACTTCAACGGAATCTTCCGACGCAGATAAACTAAGCCGCATAAATTCCTCTAGAATTATGTACGCCCCTCCTGAAAGAAATTTTAATCGTGAAATTCTTACAAGAGAATCAAATGTAGAAGTGGATGAATCAAATGGACGAAATAAAAGGACACAATCTGAAAAGCGCAGTACCAAGACAAACTTACAGGAAAGTAACCCCATAAACTTTACGCATGTTCAAGAGTGTACAGAAGATATTTTAAGGGAAAGCAGTCCAATTGAAAATTGTACTACAAATGCCCCCTCTCTTATTCTTCTTCAACCGAGCGGAGGAACGTCATCTTTATGTGTTAATGCGCCTGATAACCCTTTAGAAATTGAAACTGGCCTAAATAATAATGTAGGCATTTATTCATCAGCAACACCAATGCTACCGAGTTTTAATAACTACACCTCAGGCAAGTTGGTTATTTTCGTTCACGTCTCACGTATCCACGGAAAATCTTATGAATTGTTTCTTTGCACTCACACATTACCGGTGATGGTACAATTATTTAAATTGTATTCTTTTTATATATTGTTTATAACAAGTATGCCTCTTATATTTAAAATCTAACTATTTTTGATCTCATTTTTACGGCAAAGTAACGAATATTTCTTTCCTTTTAGTTTTAAGTTATCGAGCTTCACATAACTAAATATTATTTGGGATATTTAAAAAAATTTTAGAAAGATTGAATCACTGAAAAACAAGAACGAAAAGCTAACTTCGGGCGGAGCCGAAGTTATATACCCAGATTCCAGATTTCTATCTTCAAAAACACGAAAGTTGGGTTATTTCTGATCGTTCAGTTATGTGGCAGCTATAGGATATAGTCGGCCGATCCTTATGAAATTTGGCATGTCGTATTATTTTGCCAAAAATAGCTCTCACGTAAAATTAAACTCTCTAACTCTAAAAACACAAAAGTTATACCATTTCCGATTAATCAGTTATATGGCAGTTATATGGCCGTTCCGACTTATATAATGCGTGCAAAGGGAAGAAGGGTGTGTGCAAAGTTTCAAGACGATAGCTTAAAACTAGTTTGCGTAGAAACAGACAGACGGACAGACGAACATGCAAGAGGTGATCCTGATCAAAAATATATATACCTTATAGGGTCGGGGATGTCTCCTTCACTGCGTTGCACACTTTTGACCAAAATTAAAAGATTATAAATATACTTTTGTCCTTTGCCAGCTGTATGTAGATCTTGACACAACTTTTCTAAATATTATTTTGGATATTTGAACAAATTTAAGAAAGATGGAATGCAAATTCACTTAAATAATATCTCGTTTTCCTTTGACAGTCATTCAGCTTTTCCTAAAAAATTTGTTACATCTGATTTGTATTATATACTAGAACTTTTGTTTTACTGTGGTACTCTATTTTTTTCTCATCTTCTCCCCAAAGATATTTCATTCACATCTAAGGGTAATTTGTTTAAATACATAGTTCGTGTTTTCGTGGCATCAACAAATTTTTTTTTTATATTTTCTTTGTAATATCTTAGTAAAATCATCCTACATGATGTAAAAGGAAGCTTAGCTCTTTAGTCTAGATCCATTGTCACATAAAACTTTAGCTTTTACTTTAAACATAAATTTAACACATAACAAGGCCGACAATAAAAAATCTCCATCCATAATTTCATCTACTTCATAACCTTTAGGGTCCCCGAACCAAAGCCCAGAACATACATAGGTTTCCTAGGTACACCTACGAAAATAAATTGATCAAATTTTACTATATTTATTATGTTTGCCATGTAATGGCATTTTTTTTTAATGTATGTACATATACCAACTCAAATAAAAATGGCATCTAGCATCTATATCTTTGGAATACTCATCAAAAGTTGAAATCTCCGATTTTATACATTAAATGATTTATGTGGGCCTTTTTCGTAGAGTAATTGCTCGAAATAATTGTACTGAATTCATTATAGTTAGTTTAACAATATGTAACAATAAAGTGTCACTTAATTGCAAGAGGTACGCAGCCACTACATTCACCTTGACCTTAAACCATTTAAGGCGTTAAGTCGTTTCATGAAATTTGGGAGAACCAAACTAAAGGGTAGTATGCTTTTCTTGAACTCTCTGATATGTGGAAAACAAACATTACCCTCTTGGCGATACGGGGATATTTCGAGGCTGAGATCAAATTTTGTTTTATTTTCAAACATTTTTTTAATTAAAATAAGAAGGACGGCCATAGTCCTGTTTCCCGACTATATTATACTCGGTACTCATCTCTTCCACCCACAATTTAACGAACCTTTAAAGCTTAAACTTTAACGGTATAGATTCTTGCCAACAAATTTGTGTAACATAATCTTGCGCATGGGCAAAAGAACCACAAGAAACCTACGGACATACTACCGATCCAGTAGGGAAGCAGACTAAAAAGACTACAACTCCTCTAGTGGAGTGGGCAAAATTTTGAACCTAACTCGATCTGCGCAAATAATATATGAGTCCAAATCGCTCGGATCGGATCGCTCTATCTCTTATAGTCTTCGAGATCCACGCATTCAAACTTTTATCGCGTTTGTATGGAAAAAGGTATATACATATGTATATGGGTATATCTCCTCTATAAATATGCTGATTTAAAATTTTTTTTTTATACCCTTGCAGAGGGTATTATAATTTTGTCCAAAAGTTTGCAACGCAGTGAAGGAGACATCTCCGACCCTATAAAGTATATATATTCTTGATCAGAATCACCTTCTGAGTTGATATAAGCATGACCGTCTGTCCGTTCGTCCGTCTGTCCGTCCGTCCGTCTGTCCGTCTGTCTGTTTCTACGCAAACTAGTCTCTCAGTTTTAAAGCTATCAACTTGAACCTTTGCACACACCTTTCTTTCCTTTGTACGCAGTATATAAGTCGGAACGACCGGGATCGGCCGACTATATCCCATAGCTGCCATATAACTGATTGATCGGAAATGGTATAACTTTGGTGTTTTAAGAGTAAGAGATTTCAAATTTTTATACCCTTGCAGAGGGTATTATAATTTTGTCCAAAAGTGTGCAACGTAGTGAAGGAGACATCTCCGACCCTATAAAGTATATATATGCTTGATCAGGATCACCTCCTGAGTTGATATGAGCATGTCCGTCTGTCCGTCTGTCCGTCTGTCTGTCTGTCTGTCTGTCCGTTTCTACGCGAACTAGTCTCTCAGTTTTAAAGCTATCAACTTGAACCTTTGCACACACCCTTCTTTCCTTTGCACGCAGTATATAAGTCGGAACGACCGGGATCGGCCGACTATATCCCATAGCTGCCATATAACTGAATGATCGGAAATGGTATAACTTTGGTGTTTTAAGAGTAAGAGATTTCAAATTTTTATACCCTTGCAGAGGGTATTATAATTTTGTCCAAAAGTGTGCAACGCAGTGAAGGAGACATCTCCGACCCTATAAAATATATATATTCTTGATCAGGATCACCTCCTGAGTTGATATGAGCATGTCCGTCTGTCCGTCTGTCTGTCTGTCTGTCTGTCCGTTTCTACGCGAACTAGTCTCTCAGTTTTAAAGCTATCGACTTGAAACTTTGCACACACCCTTCTTTCCTTTGCACGCAGTATATAAGTCGGAACGATCGGGATCAGCCGACTATATCCTATAGCTGCCATATAACTGATTGATCGGAAATGGTATAACTTTGGTGTTTTTAGAGTTAGAGACTTCAAATTTAACATGAGAGCTATTTTTGGCAACACATTACGACGTGCCAAATTTCATAAGGATCGGCCGACTATATTCTATAGCTGTCATATAACTGAACGATCGGAAATGACCCAACTTTCGTGTTTTTGAAGATAGAATGCTGGAATTTAATACAGATTCTATTTTTGGTTAGTTGATCCAACCTACCAAATTTCATAAGGATCGGCCGACTATATCCTATAGCTGCCATATAACTGAAAGATCGGAATTGACCCAACTTTTGTGTTTTTGAAGATAGAAAGCTGGAACTTGGTACAGATTCTATTTTTGGTCAGTTCATCCAACCTACCAAATTTAATAACGACCGGCTGACTATATCTTATAGCTGCCATATAACTGAACGATCGGAAATGACCCAACTTTTGTGTTTTTGAAGATAGAAAGCTGGAACTTGGTACAGATTCTATTTTTGGTCAGTTCATCCAACCTACCAAATTTCATAAGGATCGGCCAACTAAATCCGATGGTTGCGATATATATCCGGTTTTAACTGCAAGGGTATATCAACTTCGGCTTCGCCCGAAGTTAGCTTTCCTTTCTTGTTTGAAATATTTTTGGCAAAATTTTTTTAACTTGTCAACTTTCATAAGGATCGGCCGACTATATCCTATAGCTGCCATATAACTGAACGATCGGAAATGACCCAACTTTTGTGTTTTTGAAGATAGAAATCTGGAACTTGGTACAGATTATATTTTTGGTCAGTTAATCCGACCTACCAAATTTAATAACGACCGGCTGACTATATCTTATAGCTGTAATATAACTGAACGATCGGAAATGGTTTTTGGTAGAAATACCAACTTTGGTATTGTTAAAGATAGAAGTTTAGGACTTTTTTTAGATTTTATATTTAGCTTTCCTTTCTTGTTGATGTATAATATTATTTAACTATTGAAATAGTTTGGCATCAATCGTTTTTCACAAAGCCTTTCTGTACTGGCGCTACAGAAACTCGCCATTTGTGTGTGCGGGATGGGTCGTGGCAAAATTTTAAAACAAACTTTTACAACGTGGTGGGCATTAAAGAAGTCTCCATGTCAAATCCTATAGCTCTATCTCTTGTAAACTCTGAGATCTTTTCATTTATACGGACATGGCTATATTAACCTGGCTGTTGATTCTGATAAAGAATATATATACTTTATGGGGTCGGAGATGATTCCTTATCTATGTTACATATGTTACACGACTAAAATATACCTTTGCACTCTACGAGTAATGGGTATCAAAAAAAAAAAAACACAAAAATGAAACTCGTCGGACGTGCAGTAAAAAGATGTTAGCGGCAACTTATCGGCCGGCGAATTAGAATTATACATCATAGTATGACCGTTATAAAATGACGATGCTCGATTGAGCGTTTATAGACGTTGGTAGGCTCAAGCTCGGGTTTTGGCTGAGCATTGACAGCATTCTATGTGATGTTTTTCAGATTATGAACTTCAAATTTCTTGTCTGGGGGACTGAGGAAAATCGGTTATTTTTGATTAATTGTAAGGGAGTTATTAGTATCTGTATCCATTTTATTATTATTAACGTTGGTTTTTTTACCCTTGCAGAGGGTATTATGATTTTGTCCAAAAGTGTGCAACGCAGTGAAGGAGACATCTCCGACCCTATAAAGTATATATATTCTTGATCAGAATCACCTCCTGAGTTGATATGAGCATGTCCGTCTGTCCGTCCGTCCGTCTGTCTGTCCGTCTGTCCGTCCGTCTGTCCTTCTGTCTGTTTCTACGCAAACTAGTCTCTCAGTATTAAAGCTATCAACTTGAACCTTTGCACACACCCTTTTTTCCTTTGCACGCAGTATATAAGTCGGAACGGCAGGGATCGGCCGACTATATCCTATAGCTGCCATATAACTGATTGATCGGAAATGGTAAACCTTTGGTGTTTTTAGAGTTAGAGACTTCAAATTTAACATGAGAGCTATTTTTGGCAACACATTACGACATGCCAAATTTCATAGATCCCTATGCCGACTATATCTTATAGCTGCCATATAACTGAACGATCGGAAATGACCCAACTTTCGTGTTTTTGAAGATAGAAAGCTGGAACTTGGTACAGATTATATATTTAGTCAGTTGATCCGATCTACCAAATTTCATTAGGATCGGCCTTTATATATCCTTTAGCTGCCATATAACTGAACGATCGGAAATGGTATTTGGTAGAAATATCAACTTTCGTATTTTTGAAGATAGAAGTTTGGGACTTTTTTTAGATTTTGTATTGTATTAAATTGGATTATATTATATATTCCTATTCCCATAAGGATCCGCCAACTATATCAGATGTTTGCGATATATATCCGGTTTTAACTGCAAGGGTATATAAACTTCGGCTCCGCCCGAAGTTAGCTTTCCTTTCTTGTTTTTTATTAGAAAAACCTTAGCTTGTGTTCATTTTTACGTTTTGATATAAAACAGTAAAACAAACTCTCATTTTCCATAGCACGCGGGTAGGAAATTCTGCCGCTGCGCTGCCGCCACACTCACAGTGTGAGCACTTTCAAATTTTTTTAGAAGCTCTCTCAATTGCTCCATTTTGACACATTTGACAGCCCAAACTTAAAAATCAACTGAGAAAAAAAAAATTCCACTGAGAAAATTTTTCTCAGAAATTGGGTGGGAAAAAGTTTTTTTATATTAAATATAAATCGGGAAGTGTAGTTTTTAATTTGTTTAAGAACGTTTGCTAGCAAAGCTCTCTTTAAAATAAAATACACTATTTTATTGCGCATCCAACTTTTGAATTAACGAAAAATAAAATAAAAAAATTTTACTGAAATTTTACAAAAAATAAAATAAAAAAATTTTACTGACCGTTTTTTCGCTCAGTAAACTCTCTGCTCTCATTGTTTTTCTCTGCTACGCATACATAAATTGATCAAATTCTAACTCAAAAACTAAGCAAGATGTTTTGATTTGGTTTTTTAGGGTTTTATAAAGCCATACGTCTTCTTTTGGAAAAGTAGGTGTGTTTTTTTTTTTTTTAAATTAAAAATCTTTTAATTATTTCCAATTTAAATCGGATTTGCACTAATTTTACAGCTAACAGATTCACATTAAAGGTTTTGAGGATGCCTCCTTAACATGTGAATTTCTTCAAAAGTGCATAAAAGCGCAATTTCTTATTTCACTCATTTAAGAAAAATTAAACAATGTACAACATTGAATAAGCTTCATTGATTGACTAAGCTTTAAAAATGAGATTTAATTCTAAAAAAATCGTTTGCTAAACTGCTTAAATTTTTGCTCTATTAAAAAGACAACACAAGTTTTTGGGACATTTAACATACACAAACTCTAATAAAAACCTAATAATAAATAAATTGTTCACTTTTTTCGTTTTTAAAATAGCACTTAAATTCTTAAATTTCAAGCTCATGTAAGCGTTAACATCAACAGCTGTTTTTTTTTGGAAATTTCTGGTATGGAACATAAAAAATTGATGTATTGTGAATGATATGTAGTTAAAGTTATTCTTCTTAAACTTTCAAAAAATGATTTTTGGCCAGAAATTTTCTATAGTGCACTGTTCTAGTTAGAAGCATTTTTAATTGCATACCTTCAGTGATATAAGTACTTGGAAGAGGCTTTAAATTAGAAGGGGTAGAGTCCTTGCAGTTTACAATGGTTTCACCAATAATTCACTAATAAATCAATTAGTATATTACAACTATCACGACACTCCAAAAGTTGATTAAAAAAAAGGACGTTATATATATATTAATATGTAAGATATATAATATATAATATATATAAAATATATATAGTATTATATACATATAACGGCCTTTTTATACCCTTGCAGAGGGTATTATAATTTTGGTCAAAAGTGCGCAATGCAGTGAAGGAGACATCTTCGACCCTATAAAGTATATATATTCTTGATCAGGATCACCTCCTCAGTTGATATAAGCATGTCTGTCCGTCTGTCTGTCTGTTTCTACGCGAAGTAGTCTCTCATTTTCAGAGCTATCGACTTGAAACTTTGCACACAAACTTCTTTCTTTTGCACGAAGTATATAAATCGGAACGGAATCGGCCGACTATATCCTATAGCTGCAAATTAACTGATTGATCGGAAATGCTGTAACTTTGATGTTTTTAGAGCAGTGGTCGGCACGGCCCTATCCCGAGGGCATAGGAAATTTCTCTGCTCGAGCTTTGCTCCACATACACACTATAAATGTTTGAAACGTCATTTTCACAGCCTACTTTCTGTTATTCGTTACTAATACTAATGCATTAAAATCCTATTAATGTATTGGGGTGCCGAACACTGTTTTAGAGTTAGAGAGTTCAGTATTTGGTAAAAATACAATCTTTGGTTTTTTCAAGATGGAAACTTAGGATTTTTTTTTTGTTATACCCTTGCAGAGGGTATTATAATTTTGGTCAAAAGTGTGCAACGCAGTGAAGGAGACATCTCCGACTCTATAAAGTATATATATTCTTGATCAGGATCACCTGCTGAGTTGATATGAGCATGTCCGTCTGTCTGTCTGTTTCTACGCGAACTAGTCTCTCAGTTTTAAAGCTATCGTCTTGAAACTTTGCACACACCCTTCTTTCCGTTGCACGCAGTAAATAAGTCGGAACGGCCCGGATCAGCCGACTATATCCTATAGCTGCCATATAACTGATTGATCGGAAATGGTATAACTTTGGTGTTTTTAAAGTTAGAGAGTTCAAATTTTAGGTGAGAGCTATTTTTGGCAAAATAATACGACATGCCAAATTTCGTAAGGATCGGCCGACTATATCCTATAGCTGCCATATAACTGAACGATCGGAAATGACCCAACTTTGACCCAACTCGTGTTTTTGAAGATAGAAAGCTGGAACTTGGTACAGATTATATATTTGGTCAGTTCATCCGACCTACCAAATTTCATAAGGATCGGCCGACTATATCCTATAGCTGCCATATAACTGAACGATCGGAAATGGTACTTGGTAGAAATATCAACTTTCGTATTTTTGAAGATAGAAGTTTGGGACTTTTTTTAGATTTTGTATTGTAAAAAATTGGATTATATATTCCTATTCCCATAAGGATCGGCCAACTATATCCGATGTTTGCGATATATATCCGGTTTTAACTGCAAGGGTATATAAACTTCGGCTCCGCCCGAAGTTAGCTTTCCTTTCTTGTTTTGTATTGAAATAAACTGGTTATATTATGATATTCTCATAAGAATTGGGCAGTTATATCCCATTCTTGCGATATACCATACATCCGCTCTTAACTGCAAGGGTATATCAACTTCGGCTCCACCCAAAGTTAGCTTTCCTTTCTTGTTTTTTTTTTTTTTTTTTTTTTTTTTTTAAATTTTGGAGTGTTTGGATAGTTGTTATTTTCTTTTGCTTGATGAAAGTAGGACATAACATTAATGCCGATTTAGGAGTTGCTCTTGCCGAGTTTTTTTTTCCTAATGTCATGTAAATCGTTGGAGCAAATAACGACTTTTGATCAGTTTGTCGTTTTACGATCTTTTACACGTACAGAAAAGTCAAAGAGTTTTTGCCAATTTCTTTAACTTATGTTATTTTTGACCTTAATAAGTCATGTCCCAGATAGGTTTCGCATGTAATCGTATGTAAAATCGATGAAATTTATAATTTACAAACGCGAAACAGCTTGTCTGTTCTATGTATTATAATACTTCTATATATTATGTTGTTTTTGATTTGTATAAAAAGCCTCTTATTAAAAATTAATCGGGAGGGCGAGACATGGTGGTTGTTAATGTGCTTGCGCCAAGGAAAGGAGTCACCTCTCACTGATTTTTATTTAATGTTTTCATTAAATTATTATTTTTATAGAAAACTCGTCTCTTCTAAGGATTTTTAAAGAGTTCGGTCGGTTATTTCTTTATGCAGACTCTGAGGATAGGATATGAAACTTAAATAGAGGCCTAAAAGTGCATTTAAAGAAACTAACAAAAAATTTGAAATAACCAATTCACAAAGTTATCTTATCTTATCTTTTTATTTGTTTTGGAACATAAATAACTTTGTTGATATTTCATTATATGTTGAAAATAAAATAAAATAAAAATAAAAAAACATACGATTTTTCGTTTAATTCGACAATTTTAGGCTGTACTTCTGTTGTACCCAGTTCAGATTACGCGTATAATCCAGCGTATACGCAATATGGTGGCGCATATGGATCATATGGATATGGGGCCAGTGGAGGCCTAATAAGTAAGTAACTATTAAAGTCAAGTTTTCGGCTATACTTTAAAAAAGATATCGTAATTTAAGTTATCATCAGATAAGTTTCCATAAAATATCCAATTTTTACACTCGGTACTCGTAGTAAGGTATTCTCCGCCTGTATAAATAAACGCGTGGTCGACCCCTCCCGCCAGTACAGAAGGAAATGTTAAAAAAGTTTGAAACTCAAACTATTTTTGTGGCTAATTAATATCTGCAAAATAAAATTCAGCCAAATCGGACGATTTTTCGAGAAGTTATAGACATTAATATTCCGATACTATAATTCCATACTGACATCAACATTGTGAATATATGGAGCTCGGAGTTTCTATAAGGTAAAACAGTGTAAGAGATAAAATCCTTGAAGAGATTCTAAAAAAATCCGCGCAGATTAAGTTTGTGTCAAAAATTTTCCTCCAAAACCGAAAAGCGGCAATAAAAATAGGTTTTGGAAAACCTTTTGATCCCAAGCTATTTTTTAATAGATAATCTATACCTAAAATTCTAAATAAGTAGAAAATAAACAAATTTAGAGGAGTTATGAGCACAATATTTTGCTTCCCAAATACATTTTTTTCAGTTGTTATATGCAAAGCATACAAAAGTGTACAAAAATAGTTTTTGTTGAGCATTTATAATTTTAAGGTTATTATACCCTTGCAGAGGGTAATATAATTTTGTCCAAAAGTGTGCAACGCAGTGAAGGAGACATCTCCGACCCTATAAAGTATATATATTCTTGATCAGAATCACCTCCTGAGTTGATATGAGCATGTCTGTCTGTCCGTCCGTCCGTCTGTCTGTCCGTCTGTCCGTCCGTCCGTCTGTCCTTCTGTCTGTTTCTACGCAAACTAGTCTCTCAGTATTAAAGCTATCCACTTGAACCTTTGCACACACCCTTCTTTCCTTTGCACGCAGTATATAAGTCGGAACGGCCGGGATCGGCCGACTATATCCTATAGCTGCCATATAACTGATTGATCGGAAATGGTATAACTTTGGTGTTTTTTGAGTTAGAGACTTCAAATATAACATGATAGCTACTTTTGGCAAAATAATACGACATGCCAAGTTTCATAGGGATCTGCCGACTATATCTTATAGCTGCCATATAACTGAACGATCGGAAATGGTATTTGGTAGAAATATCCACTTTCGTATTCTTGAAAATAGAAGCTTGGGACTTTTTTTTTGATTTTTTATTGTTATTAATTGGTTTTATTATGATGTAGTCATAAGGATCGGCCAACTATATCCGATGTTTGCGATATTTATCCGGTTTTAACTGCAAGGGTATATCAACTTCGGTTCCGCCCGAAGTTAGCTTTCCTTTCTTGTTTATATTAGGTTTCTATAGCATAAGTCAACATAATTCAACAACATAGCTTAATTGTAATATTTAATGCCAGAAAAATTGGTCATTTACCTCATAGTGCAGTGGTGCGGAAAATAGTGAGTTTAAGTGCAGAAAAAAAAAAAATATATTCCCTGCAAGGGTATACAAATTTTTCTACCGATTTTTTCTATGCCGTAGCAATAACAAATACTCTAGAGGGTTTACCCTGGTAATGGGTGTAATTTCGACTTAAATTAAGTTTTTGACCTTGAAATAGTACAAAGCTGGATCGGTACATCTTGGGTAATCAGTCTCATTATATAATTGCAACACCTGTTACTCCTCATACAAAGATTAAAGTGACAACGTCAACTGTTTTTTTATTTTATTCCCCGGCCCAGAAGCCAAGGGAATGCCAACAGTGTGTCTAGAATCTAGCAATACTAGCAATTTACCCTCATGGCACCGAGTCAACTCCTTTTAGGTTCTTAAGACCCTTAATCCACAACATGGACTAAATTACATTGATAGACTCGGCTAGACTTAGTTTAAATCTCTTTTTTTAAATGAGATTTAATTCTAAAAATTTCTTTGCTGGACTACTTACATTTTTACTTTATTAAAATGACAACACATTTACTTTATGTTTTTGACACTTCACATACAAAAAAACATAATACAAACCCCATTAAAATTATTCATTTCAAAACTTTTGATTTTGTCCATAAAATTTTGTCTATTCGCGTTTTTAAAATCGCACCCAAAATCGTAAATTATAAGCTCATGTAAATGTCAACATCAACAGCTTTTTTCAACAGCTGATTTCTTCGCAGTGGTGCCATCTATTGAAATTTCTGGTACGCAACATTAAAAATAAATCTGTTGTGATGGATATGCAGTTAAAATTATTTAAGTCCTTTAATTTTCAAAAAATGATTTTTGGCCAGAAAGAGGAATCAAATTTCCTATAGTGCAGTGGTTTCCATACAAATACATTTACATGTTTGACCTGCAATGTAATACTTGCGTTTGTGTACGAATACGAAGATTTCTGCCGTGTTTTATGGTCAGTAGTAGAAATCGTATAGACTGTCGGTCAGCGAGCAAAGACCAGGCAAAGTAATTTCTGTGCTCATGTCATAGGGTTTTAAGCATCGCTTAAGTAAAGGATCGGAAATGTTATAATATTCACAATTAGTCAAACAAAAACATGATAATTTTTAGTATATAAGCTTCGGTGTCGCCCGAAGATAAAGTTTTTGTCATTTTTTTTATTGAATCACAATTTTATTTCGAACAGATTCATCATACTACTATGAAAGTGGACAAACACAATCGGCATTAACTCAAGAACTCCGATCACCATTAGCCGCAACACGAGCCAACTCATTAGTATCGGCTGCATCGCCTGGAAGCGGTAGCGCCTGCACCAAATCGGAAGCCTCAGACATATTTCTTGTTTAATTATTGCTTCAAAAATTCAACTTCAAACTTTTATTAATGCTTTTTAGCTAATAGTTTTTTAAGTAGAGTAAGCAGACTCATTACCATTTTCTTGCAGCATTATAAATTTTTCTGAGGCATATTTTGAAGATTAAATCAAAAATATACTAAGGTCATTTACCATTTGTAAAAAGGTATCATTTAAGAAAATAAAACTTATATGAGAATTATTTTTTCTTTCAATTGTTTAACCCATTTAAATAGATACCTTAAAATCATACTCAATATCTGAATTTGCATTTATTTGTTTAAGTTACATGTTATAATGTTTGCAATATTGTAAAGAAAATGAAAGGACTGCCCAAAAGTTAGAATATAATTTTCTTCTCACGCTATGACAAAAAAAAACCAAACATCCACTACGGAGAAACCAACCAAAAATCGTAGGAGTTTTATAAAAACTTATTATGTTTATTATAATTTTTATACCTAATGATATTACTGTAAAAGTGTAAAGTTATATAAGTACATTATAAGTTTATAATTTGAAAGTGAACTTAAATTATAATACCTTAAATTAATTAAATTATACATATACACCCAAAAAATGATCATGACTTGAAAACTATTATTACATAAATGAAAAATTTTCGAGTGTGAAAAAATGATAACACGAAAAGTGTTGAGTTTTGTTATTTTAAAATAATATGGGCGGTTAATAACATAATTTAAATTATTTCTTTATCAGAATGAAACTTTCTGTCACCAAAGTTATAGTTAAGATATCTGTATAAAGCTTAACACTAAAAATTTTGACGGGGTTTCGATCGTTTGTAAAATAAATTTTAATGGATCAAATTTTTTATGAAAAATTAGCTACAACCATTCCACCAACTATATAAGGTCATTAATATAGGCTGTTGATTGACTACATGGACTTATAATAGTGGTGCGCATACCAGGGGCATGGAATTTCTCTGCCGTAGCTCTGTCACGTAACGCACAGAGCGTTAAAAAACACATAAACCACATAGCCAACCAGTGAAGTGAACGTGGGGGAGTGAAGTGAAGGTAGAACGATACGGACGTGGTCGTGCCGCGTCTAACCACTTCTAACCATGTTACGCGCCTCACCTGGGATGCAGGAACCCGTAGCTTCGTTTTCTCAGCTTGCTGGCTCCGGAGCACCCATCGGACGTCGCTGGACAGGGAGGGCAGGGGTAAGCTTTTTCCCTCTCTTTCGGCGGCATCTCTTTTCCCGCGTTGCAAATTCGCCCAATTTTGGCTGTGTTGCTTAGTGATGCAGGTCGCAGAACCAGCTGATCGCAGCTGACCGGCAGTGTGACCAGCCCCGCCAAAATCGGTAGTACCTGAAGAGGGCGCCACTTGGGTTCCCAATCGTCGCAGCTAATGCCACTCGCAGAGGGCGGCACCAGAAGAAATTTCTATAGCGCTCATCGTAGCTCAAATGGACGACGCCCTCCCCTCTTTCCCACCCCAAATTCTCGTAGCGTGTGTCCCATAATGGGCGGTATAAAAAGCAAAACCTGAAGGATGATGTTCAATAACTTCTATACTCCAGGTGGCAACCACGGATTCTGGAGGCCCCAAATAACATCCAACACACGACTGACGAGGCGGTGGCTAGCAGTCCTCAGCGTTTCTGAGCAGCTCTAAGATCCTGCTGTCCTGCGCTGTCCGAGGACACCAAGATGAAGTACCTGGAGATTAGGGAACTCGACCCGCTAGCGACCGATGTGGACATTCGGCTTGCTCTCGCCGAGCAGCTTGAAGTGGATGGGAAGTCGGTCACGTTAAGGAGCCTTCGCGCAAAATCCAGGGACACACAGACCGCCATCATTGGTCTGCCCAGCAAGATTGCGACCGCAGTTGCGAGCAAAGGGAGAGTGAGGTTGGACCGTCGGATTCGGATTGTCGGATTCGGGAGAGGCAGAGTCAACCGAGGTGCTGATAGGTGCGGATGCTGCATCCGCTGTGGCAAGTCGCCAATTGCCCCAACGAGAGGAGCTGCTACTTTTGCGCGTCAAAAGGCGAGAAGGAGGTAAAACTCCTAGCAGGAAATTGACGGTGTCCGCACTCCAAAGGAGCAGTAAAAGAAAAGGTGGGATGCAAGTGATCCAGCTCAATCTGAATCACTGCAGAGCGGCGCAGGAGCTTCTGCGACACCTCCTTAGGCGAGATGAATGCCGACATAGCTATTCTCAGCGAGCCGTACAGCGTCGGTCCAGGCGAGGAGTGGGCGATCAACAACCAGGGCAAGGCGGCGATGTGGATCTGCAACAGTTCCGCGGAAAGGCCAAGTCAAGTGGGGAGAGGCGAAGGGTTCATGAGAATCCAGTAGGGAGGTACATGGGTGTATACCTGCTACCTAGCCCCAAGCCTCTCCCTCGATGCTAACTGCAAGGCTCTAGAGGAGCAGCGGTAGATGCCAGTGGCAAACACCCAGTGCTAATAGCAGGTGATTTTAACGCGTGGGCACAGGAGTGGGGGAGTACCACCACGAATGCTAGAGGCAGAGCCTTGCTGGAGATTCTAGCACCCCTGGACCTGGCCCTTCTCAACGAGGGCAACCAGGAAACCTACAAAACAGCAGGCGCCGGTTCCATTATCTCCACAACCTTTAGTCGGCATCACAAAACAAAAAATCCAAGGCACTAGATGGGAGGGGGGAACCAAACAATACTGTCTGGTTACCAGCCTGGACGTGAAGAATGCATTTAACACGGCGAACTGGTCGCGGACTCTCAAAGCCCTCAAGGAGCTAGGATCCCGGAGTACCTGCTGAAGATGGTGGACAGCTACCTAAGTGACGTGTACGACACGCGGGAAGGTCAGAAAGCGCTAGTCGTCTCCGCTGGAGTGCCGCAGGGCTCTGTGCTAGGCCCGCTCTTGTGGAACACCATGTACGATGGAGTCCTCCGATTACCCATGAAAGAGGGAACTACCATCGTAGGATTCGCCGACGATATAGCCATAGTGGTGGTGGCGAAGACTGTTCGCGGGGTGGAAACCCAAACAAACTCCGCGGTGGCGAACGTGGAGGCATGGCTGTCTAGGGCCGGCCTTTACCTCGCCCCACAAAGGAGGGAAGCCGTGCTGATTTCGAGCCGGAAGAAGGTCGAAACAGCGACGGTACACGTAGGAGGAGTGCCCGTTACTTCGAGGAGAGTACCCCAATAACCCCAATAAAATACCTTGGGGTTATGCTGGATATGAGGCTTTCGTTCCGGGAACACCTTGGATACGCCCATAGAAGGGCGAGTGAGACGACAAGAGCGCTCTCGCGGATGCTCCTTAACATCAGAATCGAGGCAGGAAGGGAGAAGAGAGAAGTGAGAGCCACAAGTTTGTCAAACTGGCAACGGCAATGGGAGGTGTCATCCAAGGGACGCTGGACGTTTCGTCTCATTCTGGACGTGGGAGAGTGGACCGGAAGGAAGCATGGTCAGATAGACTTTTACCTCACGCAGGTTCTTAGTGGGCATGGGTGCTTCCGAAGTTACCTAAAGCACTTTGGTCATGAAAGCGAGGACTCGTGCGGCAGTGGAGTCACAGAGGACCCACTCCACGTCCTCTTCGATTGCAGGCAATTTGTGGAGAATCGCCTAATCCTGAAGGAGATCTTGGAAGAGGCCTTTACACCCCGCAGCTTTGTGCATCAAATGCTCCAGACGCCTGTAAAATGGGAAGCCATAGCCGTATTTGTGGCCAAGATGGAGATAAAGATGTGGAGAGGGCGCGCAATGGGCGGAAGAAGAAGGGCGCCAGAGTTGTGCGATGCATTGCTTTACGGCCGTACCGCACACCTTAGGTCCAAGCTCCTACAGCCCGGTCGGGGAACTAAAATGTTCAGTAGGCATATAAAATAGTTTTAAGGAGAATATAAACACGAATATAAAAAAAAAAAAAAAAAGGCAACCCATTATAGAAAAGCAAAGAAATCGTCTGATTTGGGATCCGAGAGCGATCAAATGATTTATTAGACGCTCAGTTTGATGCAGCAGAGCTATTCAGAAACGAGCGCCTGGAGTGAATTGGTTTTCAGAACACAAGTGAATTAAATTCATTAGTACTTTAACATCCGACTCACAGAAAATTAAAAAAATGTTCGCCAATAGTCCGACATCTGGTTCAAAATGAACTTACAATAAGCCTATGGTCCGACATCAGACAATGATTTCAGATAATGTTTACCAATGGTCCGACATTTTAATCACAGTGAATTTATCAAAGTTTCGCCAACGGTATGACTTCGGACTGCCAGCAAATGATCAATGCTCAGTTTCAAATGTATTTCATATTTTATGAAATGTAAAAAATATATTATTTATTTTTTAGAACAATTTAAATTCTTAGAATCAAGAACAATTTAAAATCTTAGATTTAATATTATAATTATAATCTAATTTTTGGAGTTTTGCCTTGGCAATCCGGTCTTGTGAGTTTTGGAGAAACTGCTTAGCAATGCGCTCGAATCCATTGTCCTCTAATTTTAGTTGGGGGAAAAACTGCTTCGCAACATGGTCAAAATCATTGTCAAACCTCTGATTGTAGTTGAAACGCACCTGGGAAAATGTGATCCTGCGTCATCTGCAAAAATGTTGAAAGGAATTATTCAAACGATTTCTTGCCGCTCAATCTTTGTCCAACAAAATTAATAAAATTTCTTTATGTACCTATATTATTTTTATCATACAAAATTTTCATTACAGATTATGTCTTTTTCAAAGAACATAATTGTCCCAAAGGCGTCAAGTGGCTCTGTTGGCAATATTTTTTTTGGAATTCGTTTCAATGGCACAAATTTTGGCCTTGATGCCGGTAAAGAGAAATTATTACCTTCGATCCTTTATTTGGTCCAGCATTGCTGGTGTCCTTGTTTCAAGAATCGTCGTAGCTCTTCGTAGTTTCATAAATTAAACACACAAACATACAAAAAGGGAAACCAGATGGACAAATCCAATTTTATTTTCCCAGAAAAAAACAATTTTTTTCATTAATTCAAAGAAAATGTCGAGTTTGGACTGTATTAATTAAAATGTGAATTTTATTAAAAAATATTTTTTGTGTGCGGTCCCCACTTCCCCCAATAATAATTTCACATTTACGAAAATTTTTTATTCTATGGCTATTTTTCTTATTCTTCATGTTTATAGTTTTTTTTTTTTTTTTTTTAACGTTGCTTTTATTTCTTGAATCTTCTCTTTGCGAGACTAACAAGAGGTGTATCAAATCTTATATTTTTAACTTAACTAACAGTCATATTGACTGATACGGAGTTAGACGGCCCTAAAAATCGATTGCTGGGTTGGGAGGTCGTTGCGTCTAAGGCGGGATACGCTAGAAACCCGAGTCAATCCCCGAGCGAGAAAATTTGGGTGCGAAGACTGTTTTTTTTTGTATGACTCTTTTTGCTTCTGGATTTCGTCTTTCACTGCGAGGATGCCCAGATCCCGGTGGATGTTTTCGTTGCGAACATACCAAGGTGCCCCTGTGATAGTTCTCAGGATTTTTGATTGTGCGCGCTGTATGATGTCTATGTTGCTGCTTCTCGCGTTCCCCCACAGCTGGGAGCCATACGTCCAGATTGGCTTTAGGACTGAATTGTACAGTAGTAACTT